TAAGGGCGCCGGGAAGGGAGGGAAGGGAGAGAAGTGTTCTTGGTTGAGGCTGGAGTGGCCACCAGGGCACCCTAGGAAGGCTGGAGGCCCCCTATTTCAAAATAAGTGTCTACACAGCACTTATTTTGAAATAGCTATTTCGAATTTGACGTTATTCCTCGTAGAATGAGGTTTACCAAATTCAAAATAAGTGCTCCACTATTTCAAATTTATTTCGAAGTAGCAGTTTGGCTGTGTAGACGCTAAGAAAGGTATTTAGAAATAAAGGCTGTTATTTCGAAATAACTTCGCTGTGTAGACATACCCTGAGAGAATATAGGGTTGAGTCTGTGGCTCCAGAATGCTTTGTGTGTCACGGTGTCTTCCTGGAGTCTCTGTCTGTGACACTGACTTACTCGTCTCAGACGCGGCGCAGAGGGCTAGGCTGCAGGAAGTGCAGTTAGCTTGCATTGAAACAGGAACTGTCACAGTGCGCAGCAACCAGGTTCTCAGGCAGAAAGGAGCAAGTGTGACGCACCTCCTTTAAGGTAAGTGACGGCGCAAAAGCAATATTTACAAAGGCAAGTTACCAAAAATGTTGAGGTTCCATGGCTAGCACACCTAGAGATGGGCATGAGAAATTCTACCCTGATAAGGCCAAAAGCTACTCTGCACCTCTTGGCAGTTACTCCCCAAATGCAGGCTTTGCTCTCTGGGAGCTGTTGTAATGTTTCTGGGTACAAACAACAAACGCCTCATCTGAATCAGGCTAACCAATTTTCAGGTCTGCATGCAAGCAGGTGTTTATGCTTGTGGACGATTAGGGCTAGTTACAAATTAAAGTCACTGTGATGCTGCCCAGTCTTAGTGTAGGGACTATTCTCATCTTGTGGGGGTGTACAGGCAATGGTTTGGAAAGAAACTCACCATTCTAGCATGGGTCCTGGCAGGTCAGTATAAAGGTAGTCAGACTGCTATAACTGGTTAAAAAGACCTCTTGCTAAACCTGTGGCTTTCAGCCTTTACAGACAACTCTACTCCTTTCAGGAGTCTGATTTATCTTGCATACCCTATGCTGAGCTGAGGCTTTGGCTGGGCTGCAGAAACAGTCATGCCAAGGAGCCCTGTGTTAGCCCATCATTAGTTCCTTAATGCTCACATGTGAGCCGCCTTGTGCAGGTCATACAGAAAAATTCTCCCTGTTTTGTCTGTCTCTGATCTCTCACACTTCAGACTCCTGTCTCTGCCCCAAGTCTCATGTGGCAGCTATAAGCTCAGAGTAATACACCTGGACAGTCTCTGGTTTGTTCATTTGTACAGTCACCCTCCCACTCCCACCTCTATTTTTAATTTAAGTCATTTGCCTCCCACAGGTTGCTGGTTTCTCAGCCACTGCTGGGCAGTGGGGGAGGGGGAGAGGTTCAGGTTGGTGGCTAGTGGCCTTTGTCTGATTTTTTTTCATATACCTGGTTCCACACCTGAAGATGAGGAGGCGGAGGAAGAGCCAGAAGGAGATGGCACAGAGCAACAGCATGAGAGGGCAGTCCTCTGTCCTAGGGAACAGTCAGCTGTAGCCAAGGAGTGGAGGGGGGGGGAGAAGCTGTGCAGGCTCAGGAAATAATATTGAGATGCACCTGTTTGGGATGATTGATCTGTGCCAGAGGATGGCACAAGACATGTGCAAGGCAGGAGAGCTGCTGGCCCAACAGTCCTGTTGGAGCCTTTCATTCTCTATTGCTCGGTTTTATGTAAAGGTTGATTCTTTTTTCAAGCAGCAACAAGAAATGCAGGTAACGCATTCTGAGGTGAAATACTGGCTCTCGGGTGGCTGATCTTAGGCATCTGGGACCATATTGTGGGGAGGTTTTGTGGTCTGAACAATTTTGTATCTAAACAAGCAATGTCTCCTTTAAATATAGTGCAGAATTTTTTAATTTTACATTGAAATAGCATTCAGCTTCCTCTTCCCCACTTCCTGGGCCTAGCTGGGCTTCCTGTCTTGTCAGCACATACAAACTGTTTAGCCACAGACCTCCCTGTGCGCAAATGGTTACAAAGCCTGTCTCAGCGCTGGAGAGCGTAGCCCTGACCACAGTCACTTCTTCTTTTTTGAAACTCAAACACATTTTGGTTAAAAAAAATCAGTAGCCACCAACTAATAGAGATAATTAGCAAAAGGCACAAATAGAGAAGTCATGTGAATGACCTGGAATACAAACATTAAACTAGACTACACAACACACAGGCCCCATTTAAGTCAGTTCTGCTGATATCAATAAAATGCAATATTTACCCAATTTCCACCCATATGACAGCACTTTCAATGAGCAATGACAGTGCAGGAATTTAACTACTAAAATGCATCTCAACAGAAGACCATTATATTGACTACTTTTTCGTTTTGGCTCCCACCCGCAGGCCGCAAACAAACAGGCCACGGGTCTATGTGGCCCACGGGCCATGTGTTGAGTAGCCCTGGTCTATATAATTGCTGATAGCTGTCTGTCTAAACTGCTCTTGAATATCTCCAGTGATGGAGATTCCACAACCTCCCTGGGCAATTTATTCCAGTGTTTAACCTCCTTGACAGTTAGGAAATTTTTCCTAATGTCCAACCTGCAGTTTAAACCCATGGCTTCTTGTCCTACCATCAGAGGCCAAGGAGAACAATTCCCCTCCCACTCCCCCGCCCCACCTGCACCTTGTGACACCCTTTTAGATACCTGAAAACTACTATCATGTCCCATCTCAGTCTTCTCTTTCCAAACTAAAATCCAATTCTTTCAGCCTTGCCTCATAGCTCATATTTTCTAGACCTTTAATCATTTTTGTAGCTCTTCTCTGGACCTTCTCCAATTTCTCCACATCTTTCTTGAAATGTGGTGCCCAAAACTGGACTCAATACTCCAACTGAGGCCTAACCAGCACAGAGTAGAGCGGACGAATCACTTCTTGTGTCTTGCTCACAATACTCCTGTTAATGCATCCCAGAATCATGTTTGCTTTTTTTGCAACAGTGTCACATTGTTGACGCATATTTATCTTGTGGTCCACTATGACCCCTCCATCCCTTTCTGCAGTACTCCTTCCTACACAGTCACTTTCCATTCTCGAAACAAATTGTTCCTTCCTAAGTGGAGTACTTTGCATTTGTTCTTATTAAACGAGGTGTACCGGTAGTTTGGAATAGGAAGCCTAATCCGAACTACCTAGTTCGTGCTGCGTGTAGCCGCGGGCACGGAGTCCGAACTAGTGGACATTTAAAAATGGCGGCGCCCGGCAATATGCAAATGAAGCCCAGGAAATTCAAATCCCAGGCTTCATTTGCAACTCCGGTTGCCTACATTAACCACCCTAGTTCGAACTAGGGTGGTAGTGTAGACATACCCAGAGGTCTTTCTCCTCCTCTATCATTTCCAATTGATAAGTCCTTTGTTTTCAGCATACTACTACTACTAAAAATAATAATAATAATAATTAATAATAACAACCAAAATTATTGTTGATTATTATCAGTCCATAAGTATATAACTTTGCACTATTAAATTTCACTCCATTTTTATTACTCCATGTTTCAAGGTCATTGCAATGTTTTTGTATGATATTCAAGAGGTCATCCATATTGGCAATACCTCCCAAATTTGTGTCATCTGCAAATTTTGTTAGCACACATTTTAAAAAAAGACTTAAATAAGATTGGTCCCAAAACCAATCCTTTGAAACTCCATTGGTAACTTCCCTCCAGCTTGACACTTCAGCTTTCAGTATGATCCATTATAGTCTCCCCTGTAACTAGTTCATTATCCACCATTCGATTCTCAGATAAATACCCATCTTCATCAAATTAACTGATTTCTCATGAGGAGCTGTATCAAATGCTTTTCTGAAAGCCAGGTAGGTTGAAGGAAGTTATTATTTCCCTCTCGAGGTCCCTTCCAGTCCTAGTATTCTATGATTTATTTGGCACTGGTGAGGCCACATCTGGGCTGTTGTGTCCAGTTTTGGGTCCCTCACTACAAAATGGATGTGAGCAAAGTGGAGAGAGTCTAGTGGAGGGCAATAAAATGATTAGGGGTCTGGGGCAAATTATTTGAGGAAAGGCTGAGGGAACTGGCCTTATTTAATCTGAAGGGGTATGTCTACACTACCCTCCTATTTTGAAATAGGAGGGTAATGTAGGCATACCGCAATTGCAAATGAAGCCCGGGATTTGAATTTCCCGGGCTTCATTTGCAATTGCGGTACGCCTACATTACCCCGCTAGTTCGAACTAGCAGGGTAGTGTAGACATACCCAAGAAGAAAAGAGTGAGGGTATGTCTACACTACAGAGTTAGTTCGAACTAAAGAATGTTAGTTCGAACTAACTTTAATAGGCGCTACACTAGGACTCCGCTAGTTCGAATTTAATTCAAACTAGCGGAGCGCTTAGTTTGAACTAAGTAAACCTCATTTTACGAGGATTAAGCCTAGTTCGAACTAGCTAGTTCGAATTAAGGGCTGTGTAGACCCTTAATTCGAACTAGTGGGAGGCTAAGGCTTCCCAGGTTTCCCTGGTGGCCACTCTGGCCAACACCAGGGAAACTCTATGCCCCCCTCCCGGCCCCGGACCTCTTAAAGGGGCACGGGCTGGCGACGG